GGTCACCCTTGAGCGATAAGTTTTATATCTACACGAAAATCATGAAGGCCCAATTGCAAGATGTTAGCCACACATTCGATATGCGTGAGGAAGCTCCCTCGGACTACGCGATTAGGCATTTGTTAGAACTCAACCCCGATGAAAATGAAGGTGTAGCAGCAGGATTAAACAAGCCAGCATTTATGCGTAAGGCTCACGATTTCAAAGCGACCGCGGTGAGATATCGATGGAATGAGCGCGTGAGGATCATAAAATACAGCGCGTTAAATCGGCTTCAGATAAGCTTTGAAGAATGCTATTGTCGGATGGGGTGTTGTAGATCTGTGCTCCACGTTTTAAACATGATAACAAATCCAGCACTTACAGGCGAATGGAACGTTCACCCACCGAAGATTATCGAAGTCACAGGGTGGAATGACGAGGACGAAAAGAGTATGATTAAGCAGGCGCTAGAGAAATTATCGACACACGACACCAAAGTCCGAGTTCAGTTTGTTGGAAAGTCAAAGACATAAGCCTCGCAGGGCGCTGTTATAACCTACCTAGTACTCCGTAGCCACTCATTCCAACCTCTTCTTATCCCCGCACTAAAAAACCACGTGAATATTACTAAGGTCTAGAATGTCAAGCCACATATAGCCCTGCAGTAAGGAGCCTATTCAGGAATATATAACTCTAAGCCGCCAGCCCTTAGATAGACTCTCTTCTAGCTAGCCAGCGATCAATCTAAGTAATTTACTCCCATACGCCTTCTGTTATATCAAAATCAAGTCCTGTGGTAACGGCTTCGTTACCTACAGGCGCGTGGGAAATGCAGGATAGCCTCGTTCGGCTCTTGAGCAACTTTGGTAAACTTCATGGTGGATGATCAGTTTAGAGTCTGTGTATTTCTAGACTTAGATGTCTAGGCGCTCAGACAGTAGAGAGATTTGTATGGTCTAGTCTTGCCCCTTATCCATACTACAGTGGCCGCCCATTTTCTTTGCCGCTGTGCTGTTTCTAGTTGCCTGGGTCTTATATCTACTTATGTATTGACACTGAACCATTCCATAGGTAGTGAGGCTGCAATGTATACCTAGCAGCACACAGGTAAGTCGTCATTAGGTAGATATTCACTGATCTATCTATCTGCCTGCATACTTAGCTAGGTAAGTACGTCCCTTTCCCAGGCAAAAGGGGGGAGGGTGGTAACCTAAATACGTGCCCATATATTTAATCGGACGTTCCCTGATACCCCGGTACAGTGGTAAAGTAGTCGGCAGGAAAATCGAAAGGGAAACTAGAGGTTTTCCGCAGGTCGGGATTTCGAGTCTGCCTTGAGCCCTCCTGTCTTTTCCATGTTTGATTTTTTTTTCTTTTCTAAATTTGCCCTCCCTAAATCCTGCTGCGTTTGTAGGGGGGTTAATGACTCGCCGATCAAGATTTTCAATATTGTATGTCCCGCGTATATGAAGCTGTTACAACCACCCATTCCTGAATATCCCCGCAACCAGCTACCACGTGATTTATGGTTGCCAAGAGGGATAGTGGCTTGGCAACCAGATGGTTGCCAAGGCCCTTAGCGGCTTGGCAATCAAGTTCCATTTACTAGGAAGCTATTCAGATATAAAAAGGACTGTGTTTCGCCGTCCCTTAGATAGTCTCTCTTTGCTAGCCAGCGATCAATCTAAGTATTTTTACCTTTTACGCCTTTTGTTATTTCAAATCAAGACCTGTGGTAACGGCTTCGTTACAGAAGCTAGCAAATAGTTACATCTGTCCTAGAAATGCTATACTAGGTACATTCAGAAATTCAAATAGTCAGCGTATGACATAATAGGAAAAGGGGAATCAATAATCATCCATCGATATTCAGGCAGGGCATTACTGATAATCGTTAAAATCGATCTCAATACCCCCTATACATCAATACACAATTTATTAGTCGCTTATATTAAATACTTTACGTACTTCACGTATTATCCTTAATACCAGTTACTCTGTACTGCCTTTCAACACATAGATGTGCTATAAACTTATCATTAGTCGTATGCACTGGAATGGTTATACTTCACAAAGCACCAGGACATCCTTGGAAACATAATAACTAAGCCAAAATGTAATAAACACACCCATAGACACTGTCGTCACAGGCTATATTCATTATAACATAGCAATTTAGGCATTCGGGCCCATCGCAAGATATTAAGCCCGGGGCTAGTAAGCGTTAGCAGTTGTAAAAACCAGCATATCTGATGTAGAAATGCCGAAGCAGAAGCGTGTTTCATCCTCCATTGGATAATATGGGCATATATACTAAGTTTCAGAGGCTCTAGTCAATGGTATATAATAGAACTTGTCCAATTTAGTTACCAGTCACTTTTCCAGCCGTGTTTAGCATGGATTATCTCCAGATTGTTGAGCTACATATATCACTGTGATGACACTATGAAATAGAAAACTTGTTACAATATGTACAACCTACTACATGTAGTTTACTGTACTATGGAATATAGCTCTGCTTGCCTATATATTAGTTTTAATCACCTGCAACAATATCAAATGTGCAAGACAAGCCAGATGTAGTGCAACTTTACTTCCCTAACACAAGTAAGCCACTTACCTATGTCCTATCCAATAAACGCAAATGTTCGGTGAGTGTTGTCAGATACGGATCCAGCCATAGGCTACGTCTGAGTTATCTCTCATATCTAATGCAATACTGCCGCAACAGAAAATTTCTCCAATCACTCCAACAGTCTAAAAAGCATTGTGCAGAAATAAAACCGGTTTGCGAGTGATGCACGACGAATTCATGTCGTGCCAAGATTTGCCTCCCCACCATTATCGAGCGTGTAAGTCAGATCTAGATAGAGGGATGACGAATAGATTCGATCAACTTTCAAATGAACATGAATACACATTTCAGCCTATAAGGACGATTCCACCCGGTTGGAAACTTCAGGGTTGGGTTTCAATCTTATTAGTATCCACGCAAAGCTAATTGTCATATTTTTGAAGTATTCTTATATTCTATTTGTGCACAAATACGTTGTATACCTTACCAACATCAAGTACTGAGCCAGCTGCAGCGATGACAGCACGCGGGCGTGACTACAATCGTCAAGACTCTAAGAGGCATCGCTCGAAGTCTAAAGCATTTCTTGAAGCACTTGAAGGCGGCCACTTCCGGGACGCACTCGGCACTCTCAAGCCGGGGTCAAACCCAAGTTCCAATGACCACTACCGTCACCGCCAAAACGGCGACGATTACTATTCCTACGATGAAAGCCCCTACGATGAAAGATCCCATCATCGCCACAGTCGTTATGATGATTACCCCAGTGATGAAGAGTACTTGTACGAAGAGACTAAACCTAGCCGTCGACATCGCTCCACGCATACTCATCGTCGCGACTACGATAGAAAGGGTCGCCAGCAGCACCTCAAACGGGCTAGCAGCGGGCCAGACCTGAAACAAGCTGCGGGTGCCGCCGTCGCGGCTGGGCTTGTTGAAGCATGGAGGGCGCGGTACGATCGCGACAGGACTGTACGGGTTGCCACCGCCGCAATAGGTGCTGCAGCAACCGATGCGTTCATTGCAAAGGATGGCGACCGAAAGACTAAGAGACATGTGGTCGAGAGTGTCATCGCAGGGCTGGCGGAAAATAGGGTCTTGAATGGTGCCCGGCGTTAGACATTAAGGAGTATAACATTCATCACGTAACCAGTACCTGTAACTTAGACGTCCAAGCCCAAGCCCATATAATACATTAATAATATATCTTCAGTCAATAATGCAAAGTGTCCGACTAATTTCATAGACATAATCATGTTTTACTTGTTATACCTTAGCTAATGGTCTGTCACTATAACCTAGTTACATTATATGGGCAGATTTATCTAGCTTCATCACCGTGATTTACCCTCCAACATATTTATTAACTAGTTCTAAAGCTGATATTACTATTATGATCCCGAATGTATATATATATATATATATATACATATTAAACTCATTGTCACTTAGCACTTGAGCACTAAAGGAGCCTGAAGTGGCGGCCTCATTTGCATTCTGGTGAATTGTGAACTTTTAGCGACATTGTCCAGACGTTTCACATAGAAGCGGTCATTCAGTAATTGAATATTGAAGATTGTGTCTTACGCACGGTGGTAAGAATAGCTATTTGTTATATAATGACAAGCACTAATATAAACTGCTTTTGTCGAATAAGATTTAGTGACTCGGTGGCTTTGGAAGCATGTCATAATTGTATCTTAACTTTTCTTGTTGTTTTTTACATCTGAGATACGTATTGACTCTCTTATAACTATAGACTTAGTAAGTATGTCTTCGTCATCCGCCTTTATGAAGTGATCCATTTGTCACAAACTCTATTTGCAACAGGTACTTACCTTTTTTTGTTTCTTTCCCTGTTCAGCTCTTTCTTCATGAGGTCTCTGTGATATATGCACATTTATCCTCTGCCGCATAAGAATATCGCATCATGCCCCTGTGAAAAGGTTCCTAGGGTTCAACCCAAGCCAACACTCGACTCATAACAAACAGACTGATCAACACTTTGCTTCACAACATGGCCGCAATAACTTTACACAGCTGTACCTATATCGCGCAATCACGAGCCTGGATATTATTAAAGTCATTATCAAGAAAAATAAAAGCCTGTAAATACCACCTAAACTTAGTCGCTAAAGACTAAGTGTACCTCACCTAACTATGAAATACATCGACACATAGGTAGGTTAGATAAGTCATTGCGCCAATACCTAGGTATTATCACTATTGTTCTCTACCTAGGCAGGTGGGATCATGTAGCTTAGCTGTCCCCTTAGCCACTTTTTGTGTGCTTTCCACAATCTGTATGTACCCAGGTAGATAGGTAGTTTCCAGGGCCAACAAACGGGTAGCTACGCCGTACATGGCGGAAGGTACAGCATTCTGTGTTTGCCTATGATTCTTTATCCATAATTGCACCTCATAGAGATAACTCATCCACCTGTCCGAATTGGTGTAACGGCTAACATTCTTGATTCTCACTCAAGAGCTCAGGGTTCGATTCCCTGATTCGGAGTTTATTCTTTTTTGCAGTATACTTGCATTCACCTTCGTTTCCTTCAGGTTAATGCACGCAGGTCTATGTGCAATTCTAGACTATGAGTACCTCTTCAACAAGTTCTTGGCTGCCCATTTACAAAGCGAAGTGATGCAGTGACATCTCTCTATTTGTCACCCAGGTCGCTGTCTATTGCATAGACTAGCTGTTTCACAATACTAGAGCAACAAAAAGTTATACAGCACATGTGAATGAAGGTGATCTATAAGCTACCCTTATAATCTAGGATTATCTACCGATGACTTCCATTTAAATATTCTATGAGGTGTTAGCAGTAATAGCCCACAGGGTATTGGTGAAAGGGAATATTAGGACAATATACGTGAATGCCTAAGTAACAAGGAAAATCGATAGCTTGACTTAGATCAAAGTTCAGAGATATGACTCAAGAGTAACAGTTGTCTGTGTCTAAATATAATGATTGCTCTACCTTAAAGTTTGTTGAAATAGAAGTGCAACTACGGAGTATCGGTTGTATTAATATGTAGTGTATTCCAGGGACCTTAGGGGTCGTGCCAACCACCTCACTTTGACAAAGGCGAGCAAAAGGGATTAGCCAACAGTACACATATGGTTATTTGTCATGACTTTAAACTCTTATAGCCATAAAGATAACTTCATAACTTCATAACTTCATTTACAATGTTATAGTCAACGAAACACCCTCGAAAATATTACAAAAGCTAATAATTATCGCTGCCTCTTGACCTCGATGTTAATCTAAATAGCGTCTAGGGCTTGATAGTGTATTTCTTAGGGTTTGTTATTAAGATGAAAGCTATTTGCCCATTTCATCGACCTAATAGACCCTCCAAGATTTCTGGACTCCCCATCTTTTTTGCGAAAAGGTCTGCACTTTCCATTGCATCTTGTCAATGTACACGTCAGGGGTGACAACTGGTAAAGCCATAACATCACGGTTGTAGTGTTGGAAGAACACTTGAAGTAGCTTTGGGAAGCCAGTCAGAACTCGACCATCGTGCCTCATTGCAGACTGTCGTGTCACACATTTTCGCGAGTCTAACCTATCACATATCCAAAATAAATTATTAATGGAGGTTTCGGACAACTTCCCAGCAAAGTCCGCAAAAGCCGGTTCTCGCTTTTATTTGTAAGCAGAGGAGGTTCTTAGGATGCAGGCAGCAACAGCCGACCACCCACACACCCACCCCAAAGTTGAACAGCCGGAAGCTGATGAGACCACACGGAGGTGGTTGCTATTACATTCAGATGGTCACTAAGGCACCAGCAGTGATATGCATGGAAGAAAAAGTTAGGAATATATTGATTATAGCTGTCGTTCTAACCAAGGCACCCTGGACGAGTCTTTAAATTACCTATTCGATGTGTACATTAAGTGTGCGATTGATGTCGTGGTGACACCGTAGTAAATCCAAGGAAGTTTATTCTGGTACCCATTATGTTCGAGATTCGAGTATAATGAAATGATAAATGGGCTCGGCCTCGCGTTAATCGATGCCGCGGCAATCTCGCCTTACATATTTGTCATCAACTGACAATCACACAGGCCACGATACTGGTCCAGCAAGCTATCACGCCACTGATCTACAACTTGATCAGATTAATTGATCAGGCTGGTAGAAAGAAATATAAATATACAATGTGTCCTCCTACAAATCATATGACCCATCAGCTGTTGAGCAAGAGTTTCAGTGTCTCGGCCAAATCATTTCATCAACCCAGAGTTAGCTATTGCTATCGTACAGCCAAAATTTCAAACTATGGGCAATATCACTAAAGTCATTATTGCTGGTGTAAGCATAGAGATGGTATTCTTATGATGATTTATAACTAACAATACAATCTGATCTAGGCCACTGGCATGCTTGGCCCCCCTGTGCTAGACCAACTCGTCAGAGATGGCTTCGAGGTTACTGTGCTCACTCGGAAAGGAGGGAATCACAGTTTTCCAGCCTCGGTGAAAGTCGCTGAAGTTGATTATGACTCTTTAGGCTCCCTAATAGGCGTTCTAGAAGGTCAAGATGCAGTTGTCTCGGCGCTTGGGTTTGGAGCAATGCAACAACAGCTTGCCCTGATCCAAGCGGCCATTAAGGCCGGAGTCAAACGATTCATTCCCTCTGAGTTTGGTTCCAATATCGAGAGCGAGAAGTCTGCGCATTTCCCCGTCTTCCAAGGAAAGAAGGCTGCTAGAGAGGCGCTGGAGAAGGCTGCGGCTTCCAGCTCCATAACCTATACTCTGATAGGTACTGGACCATTTCTAGATTCAGGTATCCAGAATGAGTTCCTCATAAATTTAAGAGAGAAGAGCATCAACTTATGGGAGTGAGTAATATTCATCATAGCTGGCCATTTCTTCCATCTTCATTCGCGAAACCTACTGGATTATGCCCGGGAGCGAAACAATGTCAGAATTATTTTGGAAATTTTCCATGTTCGTAAAATTGTATCAGAAGGGGAAAGACTGACTCCGAATACCACAGTGGCGGTGATCAATTATTCAGCACAACAACGCTTCCAGCAGTCGCTAAGACTGTCTCGGAGGTCCTTAAACATCCCAATGAGACCAAGAACCGTGGCCTTAACGTACAAAGTACCGCCATATCTTCAAGAAAACTACTGGAAATAGGAAAAACAGTGGTTGGGTCAGACGGGTGGAAGTTGAACGCCCGGTCGATCGACGATGTCCTGGAGGCAGGCTACACAGAGCTGAAGAAGGACCATCCGGAGCCGCTTGTCAGGAGAAACTTCATAGTAGCAGCTATTTTCGGTAAAGATTATGGTGGGCATTTCCCGAAGGTCGATAATGAATTGCTGGGTATTGAGGAAATGACGGACGCTCAAATCCAAAACTTGATGGAGAGCTTTGTGAAATGAGTCAGCTACTATACTTGGAGCTTTCACATCCAATATCTATGGTAGCTCATTATAACTTTGGAAACAAAGCCTTTGCAGAAAACCGTAGTTGAGATGGTCTTAATTTTGATGACGTCTTCCAAGATATAGGTCCTATGAAACGAATCACATACGATTGACTGCGTACCAATTTATCTCCATTTTGTCTTAATAGTAGAGGTTTTTCTATTCTGTGTTATGGTAAGAATGTACTATAGAAAATTTATACACTATATAGCAATATTCGTTGTAGCACACATTTCTTACCGAGAAACGCCCAATGCTTCTCTCAGTGTTCCTTCGTTTCTCGGTACGCAATGTACGCGATATCGTTTTGGTGACATGATCAAGTCTTTGGGGTTTATCATGTCCCTACTAGGGTCGCAGTCGATCTTCTCCTTTGTCTCCAAGCGGAAACAGCTCAGCAACCTCATGAATATGATGTATAACTCGCGAGTAGCGAGAATATGGGCCGCACACATCCTATAGCCCAGACCAAAAGTGAACACAGGTGCATCTGGTTTTTCCAGCCAGCGTTCCGGGTTAAATCGGTCGGGTTCTGACCATAGTTCCGAGTCTAAGATTACCATGCGTCAGTTGACACTCAGTTAACAGGGGCAGTTCCTCTCACCATAGTTACAGGCCCAAGCGTTCATGTAGACTGTGCTTCCAGCAGGGATAAGGACGCCGTCGTATTCAATATCTCGGATCGATTCTCTCGGCAGAGCTAAGGGGATAACGGTAAAATAACGAAGCGCCTCCTTTACGATTGCGAGGACGTAGGCACATTTTTGGTTATCGGCAGCATCACACAATGGCTCGTCAGAGCCCTGAAACTCTCGAATTTCTTTATACGCTTTATCTTGAATTTCGGGATGTTGTGCCAAGTAAGCAATCGACCACTGTACGGTAGTTGACACCGTCTCGAATCCGCCTCCCAATACGGACAGGCTAATGGATTTAAGTTCGGCCTCGTTTAGCTTAGCTTCCTTATATTTAATCACGCTTGCTTGGATACAAGGCTTATTGGTGCCTTTCTCCATCTTCTCGGCGAGATCTTTGTTGAGCTTAGCTAGATACCAATCTCGTCGTTGCCGCACTACAGTGTCGAGAGTCAGTATTATAATCCAGAACCTTTCCCACTTTTGACACCCAGAAATACCCTGAATGGGATTGTTTATTCCAGAAATATGGCGGAACTGGGTAACAAATGACTCTGGGTTTTACTCACTCTCCCGTGCCTTGGCAGAGGTCTTGTTCATGGGGTTAAGACGAAGCAATGGAATGTGGTCCTGTGCGTTGCCAACCGTCGATCTAGCTTTGTTGAGCTCTTCCTCAACTGCGACGATCTCTTTAAACAGCTCATCCTCTATCGAGGCTATTCTGACACCCCAGTTTATAGTCATTACGAGGGAAAGACTAAGCCGTTGGATCATGGGAAGTGGATCAATGGCGACAGACCCTGACTTTCCAAAATACAGCAGATCTTGAATGAACGTCTTCGACTCAAGATCAAGATATGGGATATATGTCTGAATAGCTGGACGATTTAGTGCCACGGCGGCACCTTTCTTCTTACGCTTTAGACTATCATCGTAGGGCGATGATCCGATGGTCAGTCCGGCGGTGGTTGAAGCAACCTGTGAAGTTGAAACGGTGAGTAATTTTTTCCTTAGGTAGCATGCCTCTAGCATTACCTTGTGGAATGTGTAGGTGATCGGTCTCGAACTCAAGGCTTGCGAGTTAGACATAAAAAGCGATTTAGCTGCTGCAGCACTGTTCACCACAACTACACACGTATTTCCAAGCTGTACCTGGTAAACATCCCCATACTTCTTTGCCCACTCCTGGTATTTTGTTGCTGCATTTGAACTATACAAAATCAGAAGTCAGCCCATTAATATAGTTTCAACAGTTATAGTTCATGTCTCGCTAGTTCCCACTCTGGAGACATCCGAAGTGGATTTTGAAGCACTCAAGAGATGTTGAATTAGGATTTGTAAACCTCCGAAATACGTACTATATGTCAAGTAGATTTCCGAGTATGGGCCAACCAGTCGGACCTTTCAGTCCGGGGATTCTTG